TTTGAGTACATAGTTTGCTGCTCCCATAGCTTTCAAAAATCTGGAGCTTTGCATCTCTTAAAGCATATTAATGAGCAAACAATTTAAAATCCATAATCTAACATTTAAAAACAAATACGTTTATTTTTAATCTCTTAAAAGCTGTAGAATTTAAGAGATTTAACATTGTCTATTTCCAGTAGTCAGTTCTTAGAATTCCCAGCCTAATTTGGTTTAGTGCCATTGAAATAAAAAAAGTTATACTAGGGATTAATCAAGAAAAGTTATGAATCAAGTTAAAAGTTATGTGTCTAGTTGGCAGCCGGTATCAAGTGGAGTGCCCCAAGGGTCGGTCCTGGGGCCGGTTTTGTTCAATATCTTCATAAATCATCTGGAGGATGGTGTGGATTGCACTCTCAGCAAATATGCGGATGATACTAAACTGGGAGGAGTGGTAGATACGCTGGAGGGGAGGGATAGGATACAGAAGGACCTAGACAAATTGGAGGATTGGGCCAAAAGAAATCTGATGAGGTTCAATAAGAATAAGTGCAGGGTCCTGCACTTAGGACAGAAGAACCCAATGCATAGCTACAGACTAGGGACCGAATGGCTAGGCAGCAGTTCTGCGGAAAAGGACCTAGGGGTGACAGTGGATGAGAAGCTGGATATGAGTCAGCAGTGTGCCCTTGTTGCCAAGAAGGCCAATGGCATTTTGGGATGTATAAGTAGGGGCATAGCGAGCAGATCGAGGGACTGATCGTTCCCCTCTATTCGACATTGGTGAGGCCTCATCTGGAGTACTGTGTCCAGTTTTGGGCCCCACACTTCAAGAAGGATGTGGATAAATTGGAGAGAGTCCAGCGAAGGGCAACAAAAATGATTAGGGGTCTGGAACACATGAGTTATGAGGAGAGGCTGAGGGAGCTGGGATTGTTTAGCCTGCAGAAAAGAAGAATGAGGGGGATTTGATAGCTGCTTTCAACTACCTGAAAGGGGGTTCCAAAGAGGATGGCTCTAGACTGTTCTCAATGGTAGCAGATGACAGAACGAGGAGTAATGGTCTCAAGTTGCAGTGGGGGAGGTTTAGATTGGATATTAGGAAAAACTTTTTCACTAAGAGGGTGGTGAAACACTGGAATGCGTTACCTAGGGAGGTGGTAGAATCTCCTTCCTTAGAGGTTTTTAAGGTCAGGCTTGACAAAGCCTTGGCTGGGATGATTTAACTGGGAATTGGTCCTGCTTCGAGCAGGGGGTTGGACTAGATGACCTTCTGGGGTCCCTTCCAACCCTGATATTCTATGATTCTATGATTCTTGATTAGTTTTATTGGTTCTGCTTTTGCCTATATAAATACATGTAATATATATTCAACCTCTGCTTCCACTGTTTCTTCAGTGAATGTGGTTAAAATTCTAGTAGGATAGAATCAACATTACTCTTAAAGCAATCAGTTTTCTAGAAATACATTTAATATGCAGAGGACTTGGATAATTTGACTTTTTTTCCAGGTTGAAAGGCTTGAAGCCAAAGTTGTTGACCCTCTGAAAAGTTACGGGACCATAGTAAAACTTAAAAGGGTAGGTACTATATAGTGTATTTTCTCTCAAAATTTAGTGTATTCTTATAGCCATTTTTGTGAAGCTTGTTAAATTATTACAACAAAAATGTATAGATGTGTAACTCACAACAATACATTGGAATTGCGGCCTGGAACATGTTTGAAGCAGATACGCTTCAGGAAACAGCTGAGAGAAGGGGGTCCAATCCTCTAGAGAACAGTGTCCTGATAGGGGGAGGAAGGACAGAGTGGTTTATAGAGTACATGTAGAATAGTGTGCATGTGCAGCAACTTGCAAAAGCAACAGCACTCCATCATATCACATCGCAGAACTCCAAAATGGCATTCCCTGTAAATCCTGGTATCTCTTTATTTTAAAGAGATATGTAAAACTTGTTTGCAAATGCTTTAGGACAACAACTAAATTTCTGGGTATATGAAATAAAGAGACTTTACTTTGTTAATTGAATGAACCCTTCACATTTGAACTAATTTAATTTGAATTAAAACAAGTCTTTGTGTCATCTGGAAACTTTATCAGCTGTGATTTTATATTTACTTCCAAGGCATTGATGAAAATGTTGAATAGCATCAGGCCTAGTCCTGATGCCAGTAGACCCTCACTTGAAATACCCTCATTTAGTGATGATTCTCCATTGACAGCTAATTGTTGAGATCTGTCAGGTAGCCAGTTCTTAATCCATTTAACATATGCTCTTTTGATATTGTATAGTGCCAATTTTTAAATCAGAATGTTGTGCAATACTAAGTCAAACACCTTACAAGTCTAATTGTTATATCTACACAGTACCTTTATCAACCAAATGTATAATCTCTTCAAAGAACTAAATAAGGTTTGTTTGACAAGTCTTGTTTTCCTTAAAGCTATGTTGACTTGCATTAATTGTATTCCTATTCCTAAATTCTTTATTAATTAAATCCCGCATCGGCTTCTGTTCTATTTTGCGAGGAATTGACATCAGGCTAACCAGCCTATAATTCCCTGGATCATCCTATTTGCCTTTTTTGAATATAGGCACAACATTATTATTCTTCCAGTCTCTGGAATTTCCCCAGAATTCCAAGATTTACTAAAAATTAACATCAGTGGGCTACAGATCACCTCAGCTAACTCATCTAGGACTCTTTGGTGCAAGTTATTTAGGCCAGCTAATTGAAAAATGTTTATCCTGAGTAGATATTGTCTAACATCCTCCTCAGTTACTAATGGACTGTAAAGTAGTTCATTTTCATATGATATGAGTACATCATCCTGCTTCTTTCCAAATACAGAACAGAAATATTTATTGAGCACCTTTGCCTTTTCTGCATCATTAATAAAATTCTACCATTTTAATCTAGTAGTGGGCCTATAACATTGCTAGGCTCTCTTTGTTCCTAATGTATTTTAAAACTCTAGTCCTGCCCGCTGTGGATTTTCCCTGATGTTTTTAGCTTCCCTTATCAATCTTCTGCACTTCATACTTCTAATTTATATTGATTGCTATTTCTCCTTTTTCCATTTGTTATATATATATTGCTTTTTTATTTCTAAATGCTGGCTACACTTTGCCACTGAACCAGCATGGGCTTTTAGCCATAGTCGACCTCTTTCTTGATTGTAGAATTGTGGCTTTTTGCCCATCTAATAAACTCTTCTTTAAGAACTCCTGATTTTTGTTCACATTTTTCCCTCCAAAAATTTAAAAGATGGCACACACAGCCTGGGGCCCAATCCTGCAAGGCGCTGAGCACCTTCAGTGCGCATTGATCTCTTTTTCAGGAAGTGCTCATCATTTCACAGGATTAGTCCATAAAAACCTGGTTTGATTTAGAGCAAAAAATTTTGTGTAAATTTTCTGGACAACTCATAAATGCAAACAAATGTATTTCATATGCCCTTAGCTCTATTTCAGCATATACAGAATGGTATAAATATATTTGCAGGATGATCTCAAAGCAACTTTAACAGCAAAGAATCGAGAGGCTAAGCAGTTATCTCAACTGGAAAGGACACGTCAGAGGAATCCATCAGATCGACACATTATTGTATCCTTTCTGTTACTAATGAATATAAGAAGTAATTGATTCTCCAGTAATTAAAAATATTGTATTTAGAAAAAGATGTGAAAGCAATTGTCTTTAAAGTGATTATTTCATACATTGATCATGAATCACAAATTCTTTATACTATATTTTGAGACAGCTAATTGGCTATAGCTTATAATATTTGCTATAGTAGCATTTATTTAACAAAAAGTACCTGAGAGTATCTGGCATGTGTTCAGTCACCATATTCACATTTTCAATTTTTCCCCATTTTTCTATCATTGATAGTAGGTTTAAATATCTGTTGTATATGGTATCTGAGGGTTATGGAAAGATTATATCCTATTGTGAGTGATAAGTCTTTAGAAAGTAAGTGTGGGACAAACTTTCTCCATATGTTTTGTTTAATTTTAGCATTGTTTCCATTATTTTGTCTCCTTACCATTCTGGCAATTATATTGATCTTTCCTGCAGCCATAGAGACATGAACTTCCCCCTGAGTTGCTGTTGATGTTGCTCAGTGAGGCTGATTGGGGTGGGGAAATCTGTAGTCTACCAGCTCAGACCCATTTTAGGCACTAAGGCGTAACCCATCGTCTAGAAAAACTTCATTGCTACCACTAGTTAGGTACATATCTGGTGGTCATCACCAGGGTGGATGTAGATTCTGGAAATGGTACCGTTTTTTCTATATCACATAATGTTTAAACATTATCGGCATCCAAACGGAAAAAAATCATAAAATCACAAAAAGGGCCCTAACTCAAAGAAACAGTCTAATTTTGACCAAAATTGGTAGAAAGCTTCTAAATACAATTGATAATGCAGCTATGTACTCAAAAATAGTACTGTTTTAGAAAGTTTGGGAAATATTTAGCCCCAGGTGATATACTTTATGCATTTTTCCATACTTTTTTGCCTTTGTTTAAAGCAAGTCTGTTGCATATAATGGTATGAGCTTGTTTGTACCATGTAATACATCAAAATATTTGACATTATTTTTAGAATGGACTGATTTGAGAAGGGATTGGGGGTTTTTTTGCCTGCTATTTGTATGAAGTTGTGCAGATAAGAAGACCCCTACCTCCTAATTATAAAATGTTATCAATATTTAAAATGCCATGGCAGACTTCATAACCAGCACCCAATCACTCTGCCAGCTCATAGACACTGATGTTACCCAAGGAAAAAATTGTTCAAATATGCTTCTGGGAAAACTATATAATGGATTTTGTCCAACTATTGATGGATTACATAGAGGGAAAGAGAGATAACAGGTTCATGGAGCTTGACACATTCACAGCGATGATTCCACTTGACTTCCAGTGTGGTCATGTGAATTTTGCTAGATGGGGTTGTGTAAATGTAGCAGAAGACATGTTATACCAATAAAATAAAAACCAGCAGGATCTTATTAAAGGTAAAAAGGCAAAATACCACATTTATTGTGAATACAGAAAGAATCATAGTAAGCAGTTAGTTATAGCTATAACATTCCATTCAATCTCATATTTATTCACACATTCATTCCTACAAACACACACACACAGGTTCTGCAAGATTGTTATCATAGTAAACCGTTAGTTATAGCTATAACATTCCATTCAATCTCATATTTATTCACACATTCATTCATACACACACACACACAGGTTCTGCAAGGTTATCATCATAGTTACCAGCCTTAGAGTTGCTCATGCCAAGCCACTGGCCAGGTGGCCTGGACATGTGGAGGGAGCAGGGCCTTGTCAGATGCTCATCTGATGCTCCTGGAAGTTGGTTTGCAGAATCAGACCCCAAAGTTCTCACTTTCTAGAGTCCATAGGAGTTTCTTCCTATGCCAGTCTATGGGAATTGCTTCATCATGCTGTTGCTGAATCAATCAGCAGATAGCACATTCCTGACGGCTCCGTGCTGCTAGATGTTATCTTGTTCTTTGGTTCTCCCATTCTTGAGGCTGTTGGGTGGATTCCAGTCTGCCCCCCGGGGGTCCTCTGGTTATTTCCACTTGATGCCTTCTTCAGCCAATGGACACTGGATTCTTAGGCTGGCACCTCCCTGATCATTCAGTTATTATCCACACCAAGCATCCATCCACATACATCCTCTATCTCTGTTTTAATCACAATTGTTAATACAACAAAAGGGCGGGGAGTCTCTGGGTGCTGTTTCTGTTGTTACAGAGTATTGCTTTGAGTCTCTCTCTGTGTGAATTGCTTTGAGAACAGACTCTGTCTTAGAATGTACTAATGCAATTAGCAACTTGCAAGTTTCACACATAGAGGGAGAGAAACAGTACCAAAAACCAAGAGACCTCTTAATTAGTAATACCCTGGAATTTAAACTATGGGGAATCAAACTCATTTGTGATTTTAATACAGAACTTCTTTAATATGATCCAACAGACAGACTTCTGGAGGAGGAGAAGCCAGATACATATCATGCCTTAGTTGACAGTCTAGGAGCAGTAGACCGGACTGCCTGACCCTTCAGTGGTATATGGCATGGTGTGGCCATTTGAGCAATCTCTCAACAAGGATTATGGGAAGCATCCACATCTTTGCACAGAAGCTAAGACTCTGACCAAGTGTTACTTGACTCATTAATAGCTATGACAAAACAAATGTGTGGAATGCAGCCTTCAACGGCAGATCTCCACAAAGAAACAACCATAGAGTGCATGACTGCTGATGAAAATGTCCAAGATACTACAAAAGTTGTGACTGAAAGAATGACAGATCCTTTTAGTACTGAACCTGGAACTAGCCAAGACAGCAGACAGCCACTTGTGTACATTGCAATGTCTACTGTGGCTCCACCTGAAATTGCAGAAAGTTTGGGCATAATAAGAGGGAACGGGATAAAATAAATGAAGTGGTTTGTAACCAGTCGAGTGCAAAGGGATGAGGTAGACCACCTTGATGCCATAAAAAAATATAATCTCAAATCTCAACAAACCAATTGAGCATCTGAAGCAGACAGCACAAGCAATAACTACTGTCAGACATTCAGTAAGCTAACTGCACTTGCCAAGTCCAGAGATGTTGATATCCAGGGTTTGTTGAAGTATGAGTTGGCACCTCTCCCACTTTCCTACTTCAATTTGGATGGATCTCTAAGAAAGACCCAAAAGAGCAACACACCCTCTTGGCTGGATTAAAATCTGTCAATGATTGAGCTATTATCAGCCAATGAGCCAACATTAGCTATTTATTGACCTCATGATGCTTCTGCAGATGGTGTACACTGATACTGCCAAGTGCAAAACTTTTGGGGAGCTGTCTGATCAGCTGCTGAACATTACCCTTTGATTAAAATGTCAAGACACTGCTCTTGTTGGTGACAAGCATGCAAATGAAGAATCAGTCATCTGGTGAGAGAGACCTCAGGGGGAATGTCCAGATGCAAGAAGTTTGGAACCCCGCTGTGTTAATATCATTACTAAAGCAATTCTTGAAGATTATATCAAATTCAAAGAATAAATCAGACATTACAGAATTTCTTCTCTATGACTGAATTATGAAGTATGAACAGAGATTGTTACCTGGTTGTGAAGTATACCTTGCTGCTAGATTTTTATGATATCTCACAAGCAGTAAAAGTAGCATCTGGTAACCATTCTGCAATACCAGAACTCAAGGCAGATCACAAGGAAGCAGATTCACACATGTTCTTGCACGTTGCTCATCAAAGCAAACACTCAGTAAATAGGGTGCTAATGTGGAGCTTAGATCCAGATGTTGCATCTATGTGCCCAAGATATTGCTCTACTCTTGGGGAAAATGAATTCTCTTTCAAAACTGGTGTTGGCCAAAAGAAGAGATTCATTCCCATGGACAGAGTGGCTATGGAGCTGGGAATGGAAATGTCTTACACTGCCAAACATTCATGCTGTCAGTGGATGTAATTCTACTTCAGCTTTCATGTACAAAAAGATGACTGAAGACAAAAATTGAGCACCCAGGGTGCAGCTCAGATAGGCTGCCTCTCTCTCCTCCTCTATGCCTCCATGGTATCTTTATTGTACTGTGATAAGAAGCAAACATCTCTGGATAAAACAAGTGAGAAATTGCCACCAACAATGGTCTCCTTCAGGTAGCAGCTGAAACATGCAAGTTATCAGTAATACAGATCGAATCATACAACAGTTCAGTATTTTTAAGTATCACCTGTCAAAAATGGAGGGGTGATATTTAGCCCAGAACATCTTGTTTCTAACATGATGGTGCTGCAACCTGCTCCAGAAACTATCCTCACCTGTGTGCAATATGAGTGTGAGAGTACTTGTGAGACAAGGCGATGGAAATGCTGTAGGGAAGATTTGGTGTACTCCGATACATGGTTCTGTGACAGTGACAAGTGTAGCAAGAGGGTATTGAGCTCTTCAGACAGATTCTGAGGGAGAATAGTAATGTTTCAACTATCTGTAAATTACTGTGGCTATTTTTATGAGGTTAAAGAGTGTTGCATTAGACATTCAGTAGCTCATAATTATGTGTAGGGTTATATAAGAGTGCATGGTTATGCTTCATTATTCACATTATCTATTCATACAAGACATTCTACAGCTCTTCTACTAAGAGTCATTACTTCTATAAATAGTTTACATGTATTGTCATATTCGATGATGGTAAGAAGATAAGTACAGATGTACCATGAGGGCTTTAGACTTATGTCTGCAGCTGAGCAGATAACATCAAAAATATTTTTGTTTTATAATTATCTGTATAACTTCATAAAAATAGCAGACAAACTTTTCTCAAATCAACCCCTTCTACAAATGACAAATATTTTGATGTATCAAATGGTACAAACAAGCTCATATTGTTATGTGACTACAGACTTTTGCTTTAACTGAAGGCAAAAAAGTATGGGGAAAATGCATACAATATATCACCTAGGGCTAAATATTTCCCAAACTTTTCAAAACAGTACTATTTGAGTACATAATTGCATTATCAATTGTATTTAGAAGCTTTCTGCCAATTTTGGTCAAAATTAAAGAGTTTCTTTGAGTTTTGGCCCTTTTTGTGATTTGATTATTTTTTTCAGATTGATGTCTGATAATGATTAAACATTATGTGATAAAGAAAAACTATACCACTTCCAGCAACTGTCTACCCTGGTGATGATCACCAGATATGTGCCTAACATGTAGTAACAATGAAATTTTTCTATCAGATGGGTTCCCTAACTCATTAATAAGACCGCTTTTTAACTCTAACTGGTAGACTACTATAAAATCGTTAGTGGAATAGGCTGATAGAACTGCTCTCCCCTCCAGAAGACTGCTGATTACCTTCATCATAATATTCCATTCTATATTTTAAGTATACACAAGCGTGCATTTCTGCTATAGCATATTTGTGACACACTCCCAGAAGGAACATTCACTGTTACTGGGTATTTTTGATATATCAAATATTTCACACATGAACATACATAATGTATTAAAGATAGACATTGTAGATAAAAATATTTTTATGTAAGCATATTGTTTTTTACCAAAGATTACATGTAACAGTTGTACTGTAAATATTTTACTTTCATTTTCATAAAAAATATTTTCCTTTATTAATAATTTCAGTCACAGGTGCATGTTGTGTTTCTGAAGAGGAAACATCAAAATAAAATCTTTTAATTATTTAATTTCAAACTATGCATGTTTTAGTATTCTGTTGTATCACAACACTCTGTTTTTCCTAAGAGATTAGTATATAAAATATGTCCATATCTATTTAAAGTGGATCAAGAATAACATTCTATTACTATGACCATAATATAATTAACATTACAGTATCTACTACTTACTAAATACCAGTAGTGACAGAACTGTATCAGACAAATATGATATGCCAAAAGCTCTCTATTGCAGTGCATTATGGGAGGATTCAGGAAAACAATTAGGCACATACTTAATGATTTGCCGAACAGGGAGGGTGTTACTCATGCTTAAAATTAAGATAGTGCTAAGAACTTTGCTGAACTGGAGCCTAAAGGAGGAGATGAAGATGACGTACGTTTATTTATTACTAATTCCATAGAGCAGTGGTGGGCAACCTGCGGGCCACATGCAGCCCGTCAGGGTAATCCGCTGGTGGGCCGCGAGACAGTTTGTTTACACTAACTGGCCGCAGGCACGGCCGCCCGCAGCTCCCATGGCCGCGGTTCGCCGTTCCCGGCCAATGGGAGCTGTGGGAAGTGGTGCGGGCTGCAGGGACGTGCTGGCCGCTGCTTCCCGCAACTCCCGTTGGCTGGGAACAGCAAACTGCGGTCACTAGGAGCTGCAGGTGGTTGTGCCTGCAGACGGTCAGTGTAAACAAACTGTCTCACGGACCGCCAGCGGATTACCCTGACGGGCCGCATGTGGGTTGCCCACCATTGCTTTAGAGACTCACTTTGCTTAGCATACTTTTTTACACCAGGATTTATAGTTCATGTTCTCTAAATTTTAGGTTTTTTCTTGTACAACTCTTTAAAAATTCTTCTAAAGGGCTCTACATCAGTGTAAGTGATATTAATGTCCAACTCACAAGAAGTCTAAACTATAGTAACTTGCATGTGTAGGACAGCCTAATGGTTTCTAAAGTAAAGTACACAACTTTTTAAATATCAATTCAAGGAATAACATCTTTATCTGGTTATATTTCTAAGGCTGAAAGTGATCTACAGAGAGCTTCGATGGATGCAACTCGAACAAGTCGGCAGTTGGAGGAAACCATTGACAATTTTGAGAAACAGAAAATAAAGGACATAAAGGTGTGCATGTAAAAATATATAGAGAGAGTGTGAGTGAGTTAGGGTGACCACACAGGAAGTGTGAAAAAGTGGGACAGGATGAGGGGTAATAGATGCCTATATTGGACACAGCCCCAAATATCAGGACTGTCCCTACAAAATTGGGACATCTGGTCACCCTATATATAGTTCACATTTAAATTTATGGCATCACTCTTGATATGTCAAAATGGTTTTAGTTACTGTTTGGCAAGATTAGGCAACACCTCCAGTTCACGTGAGTTGTGCACAAATACAAATTGGTGCAAATACTGTGATATTCACAACTATTTCAATACCCAAATAACATTACACACACAAACATCAACTAGTTATTCTTCATTTCCTTTGGATACAATATTAACTGTTGCCTTAAAATGTCATTTAGTGTCTCACTGAACTGTTAAACAGCTACCATATCTATCTAATCTACCTATCTGTCATTTTCCTCTTCGGTGCCTGTCATATATGTCACTAGTCAACTGTTCACTAGGAATTAAAATGGTATATGAAGTGGGAACAGGATAATCAGGGGTTCTCAAACTGGGGTCATGACCCCTCAGGGAGTCACGAGGCTATTACATGGTGGGTCACGAGCTGTCAGCCTCCCCCCCCCCCCCAAACCCTGCTTCACCTCCAGCATTTATAATAGTGTTTAAATATAAAAAATGTGTTTTTAATTTACAAGGGAGTCGTACTCATAGGCTTGCTGTGTGAAAGGGGTCACCAGTATAAAAGTTTGAGAACCACTGGGATAGATAGTGTTTGTCAAGCTACCACCAGACTTAGGGGTTAATAGCTAGAATTAAAGTCCAACTTTTTAAAAAAAAAATGCATTGAACAATTTTGCTGTTGTGTTCTAGGATGTCAATGATATAATTCTGATACAGTTTTTGTGTGTTTGAAGCAGGAGTGTACTTTTGTCATAAGAACAGGAGTACTTGTGGCACCTTAGAGACTAACAAATTTATTTGAGCATAAGCTTTCGTGAGCTACAGACAACTTCATCGGATGCATTCAGTGGAAAATACAGTGGGGAGATTTTATATACACAGAGAATATGAAACAATACACGCTATAATGAGAGTGATCAGTTAAGGTGAGCTATTACCAGCAGGAGAGGAAAAAAAACCTTTTGTAGTGATAATCAAGATGGGCCATTTCCAGCAGTTGACAAGAACGTGTGAGGAACAGTAGGGGGGGAAAAATAAACATGGGGAAAGAGTTTTACTTTGTGTAATGACACATCCACTCCCAGTCTTTATTCAAGCCTAATTTAATGGTGTCCAGTTTGCAAATTAATTCCATCTCCCCATGTTTATTTTTCCCCCCTACTGTTCCTCACATGTTCTTGTCAACTGCTGGAAATGGCCCATCTTGATTATCACTACAAAAGGTTTTTTTTTCTTTCCTGCTGGTAATAGCTCACCTTAACTGATTACTCTCGCTATAGCGTGTATGATAACACTCATAGTTTCATGTTCTCTGTGTATATAAAATCGTCCTACTGTATTTTCCACTGCATGCATCCGATGAAGTGGGCTGTAGCCCACGAAAGCTTATGCTCAAATAAATTTGTTAGTCTGTATCCACAAAAAGAAGACTAATGCGGCTGCTACTCTGATACTTTTGTCATGTAAATTAATATACCTGCATACAAATAAAACCTTTCTCTTTTAATTAATTTTTAGAGCATATTTTCTGAATTTATTACTATTGAAATGTTATTCCATGGAAAAGCTTTAGAGATTTACACTGCTGCTTACCAAAATATACACACTATTGATGAGAATGACGATTTAGAGGTAAGAGCAATCAACATTCTTTTTTTATTATTTACGGACAAGGACAAGTTGCACACTGGATCTACAAATGTTGACTAAATCAGAAAATGCAAAGGACCAATTCTCATTTACACTAAGGCCCCCTTTACACTACTCCAGCTGTGTAAAAGTGCCTTAAAGTGGGTATAGATTCATATACAGATTTTTAAGCCATTGTTATCCTCTCATCTAATCCTCTGAATAACACAGGTCATTAGGACTTCCTTAGCTCCTGCTTCAAGTCCAATAGCTGTGGTTGAATGCTAAAGTATTTCTTTTAGAAAAACATCCAATTCTGATTGATTAAAAAATGTCCATTGATGAAGAATCCACCACAACCCTTGGTAAATTGTTTCAATGGTTAATTACTCTCACTGTTAAAAATGTGTACCTTATTTCGAGTCTCAATTTGTCTAGCTTCAATTTCCAGCCATTGGATTTTATTATACTTTTGTCTGCTAGATTGAAGAGCCCATTATTTAAATAATTGTTCCCCATATAGATACTTATAGAATGTAACTAAGTCACCCCTTAGCCTTCTATTTTATAAACTAAATAGATTAAGCTCCTTGAGTCTCTTATTAGAAGACACATTTTCCAATCCTGTAATTATACTTGTGGCTCTTTTCTGAACCTTCTTCAATTTTTCAACATCCTTGAAGTGTGGACACCAGAACTGGACACAGTATTCCAGTAGCAGTTGCACCATTACCAAATACAGAGGTAATATAACCTCCCTACTCCTACTAGACATTCCCGTTTGTAAATCCAGAGATTGCATTAGCCCTTCTAGCCACAGCATCACAGTGGGAGCTCAAATTCATATGATTATCCACTAGGACCCCCCAAGTTTATTTCAGAGTCACTGCTTCTAAGAATAGAGTCCCACATCCTGTAAGTATGATGTACATTCTTTCTATCTATATGGTATGACCTTATATTTGGCTGTATTGAAATGTATATTGTTTGCTTGCACCCACCTTAGCAAGCAAGTCATATTATTCTCTATCAGTGAGCTGTCCTCTTCATTATTTACCACTCCCTTATCGTGTGTTTTCTGCAAACTTTATCAGTAATTTTCCCCCCAAGGTCATTGATAAAAATATATAATGTAGGCCCAAGAACTGATCCCTGCAGGACTTCACTAGAAATGCTTGATGACGATTCCCCATTCATAATGACATTTGAGACCTATCATTTGGCCAGTTTTTAATCAATTTAATGTGTATCATTCCAGTTTCTCAATTAAAATGTCATGTGGTACCAAGTCAAACACCATACAGAAGTCTGAGTATATTACATCAACAATGTTACTTTTATCAACTTAATTTGTAATCTCATCAAAAAATGATCAAGTTAATTTGCCAAGGTCTATCTTCCGTAAAACCATGTTGAATGGTATTAATTATATAGCATACTATCTAATAGTCTATACTATAGATTAAGTATAGATTGAATTATTCTCTCTGTTCCAGAGTTGGTCTCTTTAAATCAGGATTGGGAGGGTGAGATTGTATTGGCACTGTCCAATGCTGTACTTGTGTTAGAGAGCTTCAGTCTCTTGGGCTGTTAGTCTGGCATTTATAGCATGGCACTAAAGTCACTGCCATTTTACCTTGAACAGGTTTTTCGGAGTTCACTGTATCCACCAGACTATCAGTCTCGTTTAGACATAGTCCGTGCAAATTCAAAGTCCCCCCTTCAAAGAACTGGTTCATCAAAATTTTCATCTGGAATAATACAGGTAAGATAGAAAACATGAATGTTAGGTTCAAGGTTCATTTCAGAAGATGTGTTAAATTAGAGACAGTATCTCAGGAGCATAGTCTCAGGTGATGTAAATTGTCATAAACCCACTGACTTTAATGGGCCTTTGACAAATTACACCATCTGAGGATGGAGGAGGTTCATTCCAGATACATTCAGTGAACATTTTAATTTTGTATCTTGTACCTAGGAATTATAATAACCTTGTTAAAACTGACTAGGATTTGCATACAATAGTAAATACTCTACTATAAACTATTTTATACAAAAAAGGAAAAATTGGTTAGGGACGTGTCAGAAACAAAGTTCTTCCAACACTTGGGTGATAGAAGAATAAAATAGATAAAACATTTTTCTCTTCTTAATTTTAGAATACTAACTTTGTAAAATGATTTTGTAGGAAATAAAAACTGGTTGTTGTTGCGTATGAGTTGTGGAGAAGAATTCTGTAGAAAGTTTTTTAAATATTTATTTCATTTTAGAAGAGCCAGCTTTATTGCAGTGACTTTTTAGGAAATGTAAACTGACTGTGATAAGAATAAGATACAGAAATTGGGTAGGATACAGTTGTCAATATTAATGATTGCAGCAAGAATGCATTCCACTTAAGGATAAATATATCAAGATGGGTAAAATGATCTAGTATGGATGAACAGGGAGATTTTATAGTATATTTTAAAATGTGTCCAATAAATTGAAAAAATATGAAGAGGGAGATGATAATGGAGAAATAAAAAAAAGTGAAGTCATGCAAAAGTTCTTGACAATATTGGAAGAAATAAGATGTCTAAAAATATACCATAATAGGGCAAAAAAGGAGAGTAAGAAGAAAAGGTATCTTACAAACAAAATAGTCACAGGTTGTGAGAAATTGAACAACATTTCAAAATCTCTAAAATGAAATGTTTCAGGACTGTGATCAGTAGTAAGCAAGCTATCAGGCTTTTGGCTCTCATGTTGCATTTTATGGAGCAGTCTAGTAATAGGAGCTTTTTAAAGACACAGTGAAATTCTTTGAGTGGCCTCTGCACATTCCCACTCTTGAACTGCTTCAACAGTGTAGTTTGGACCAGTGGAACCTTCTAATAAAAGTGCTCATTGGAGCACTCTCATGCTCCATGCTCCTCTCCTTGTGGCTCTGAAGATTTGAGGGCAGAGCTATAAAAGAGGCATGGTGTGATGATTGCTTCTGTTTTTTCCAAGTATGCTAGCAGATGGACCAGAACACTTGTCAGGTCCTTGCACCCCCAATTCAAAGGAACATATTGTTCCCAGTGTCATCACCTTCTTAGTTTAGCTAGACGTTAGTTCTTTTTTTCTTGTCTTCTTTTTTTGAGGGGTTTTTGACTAAGAACCTTGGTGCCCTGGCACAGGTCCTTGTTTCTAGTATGTTGGAAACAAAGACAAAGAAATCAGGGTTCAAAGGTGGGTTTCTTTCCCTGCTGCTTTTCCTGCTTTGGATACACATGTGTTATCTGACCTGTTTGAGGAAATGTCATTCACCTTCTCTTTGCTCTATGTGCAGCACCTTCACCCCTATGGCCAGAAAGGAGTTGCATTTGCCTCCAGCCTATGTTATTGCCGGAAGCGTTAGCACCTAAATCTTTCAGTTCTAGAAACCCAGGGATCTGCAAGGGCTGGGAGACCAGCCTCAGCTTTGGCCCCCAAGGTGGTCAAAAATTCCAGGAAAGTCCTAGTGTAGGTATCTGCCTCTTTGACTGGAGTCAGACCTAAGGTACCAGTCACTGTGAATCCATAAGCTCAGAGGTGACACCACTGCTGAAAAAGCTAATTCTCGAGAGCATATCTCTAAGGAACTGATATGTCTGGTTCCATGCACTAAATTGCAAAAGTGTCCCCATAAGGCTTCAGCCTTGGAAGTCAGAGCCACAACAAAGAGTGGTTATAGAGGGCCAAGACCAAATTACAGATCTGTACTCTGGTCTGGATCAGAGGCCATTGGTTCTATACTTGAAACTTCATTGTGAGCCTGATGAGGCACCTGATGCTTCTTGTGAGCCACCAAGTTCCTACTGGAGGATCCACTGTTAATAGGGTGACTCAGTAACATGGTGGTGCAGGTATCAAGCCCCTGGAACACCCTCATTCAGATCATAGAATCATAGAATATCAGGGTTGGAAGGGACCTCTGGAGGTCATCTAGTCCAACCCCCTGCTCAAAGCAGGACCGATCCCCAATTAAATCACCCCAGCCAGGGCTTTGTCAAGCCTGACCTTAAAAACTTTTAAGAAAGGAGATTCCACCACCTCCCTAGGTAACGCATTCCAGTGTTTCACCACCCTCCTAGTGAAAAAGTTTTCCCTAATATCCAACCTAAATCTCCCCCACTGCAACTTGAGACCATTACTCCTTGTTCTGTCATCTGCTACCACTGAGAACAGTCTAGATCCATCCTCTTTGGAGCCCCCTTTCAGGTAGTTGAACGCAGCTATCAAATCCCCCCTCATTCTTCTCTTCCGTAGACCAAACATCCCCAGTTCCCTGAGCCTCTCCTCATAACTCATGTGTTCCAGTCCCCTAATCATTTTTGTTGCCCTCTACTGGACTCTTTCCAATTTTTCCACATCCTTCTTGTAGTGTGGGGCCCAAAACTGGACACAGTACTCCAGATGAGGCCTCACCAGTGTCGAATAGAGGGGAACGATCACGTCCCTCGATCTTCTGGCAATGCCCCTACTTATACATCCCAAAATGCCATTGGCCTTCTTGGCAACAAGGGCACACTGTTGACTCATATCCAGCTTCTCGTCCACTGTAACCCCAAGGTCCTTTTCTGCAGAACCGCTGCCGAGCCATTCAGTCCCTAGTCTGTAGCGGTGCATTGGATTCTTCCGTCCTAAGTGCAGGACTCTGCATTTGTCCTTGTTGAACCTCATCAGATTTCTTTTGGCCCAATCCTCCAATTTGTCTAGGTCCCTCTGTATCCTATCCCTACCCTCCAGCGTATCTACCTCTCCTCCCAGTTCAGTGTCATCTGCAAACTTGCTGAGGGTGCAATCCACACCATCCTCCAGATCATTTATGAAGATATTGAACAAAACCGGCCCCAGGACCGACCCCTGGGGCACTCCACTTGACACTGGCTTCCAACTAGACATGGAGCCATTGATCACTACCCGTTGAGCCCGACAATCTAGCAAGCTTTCTGTCCACCTTATCGTCCATTCATCCAGCCCATACTTCTTTAACTTGCTGGCAAGAATACTGAGGGAGACAGTGTCAAAAGCTTTGCTAAAGTCAAGGAACAACACGTCCACTGCTTTCCCTTCATCCACAGAACCAGTTATCTTGTCATAGAAGGCAATTAGATTAGTCAGGCATGACTTGCCCTTGGTGAATCCATGCTGACTGTTCCTGATCACTTTCCTCTCCTCTAAGTGCTTCAGAATTGATTCCTTGAGGACCTGCTCCATGATTTTTCCAGGGACTGAAGTGATGCTGACTGGCCTGTAGTTCCCAGGATCCTCCTTCTTCCCTTTTTTAAAGATGGGCACTACATTAGCCTTTTTCCAGTCGGGGGGGACCAGATCAGGGGGACCCTTCATACAGCATTGAGTAAGTTACTCTCAATGCTTAAAGGTAAAGAAATGTAAGATAGTGGGATGCTAATTCTTCCTTCTCCAGAAAAGAAAAGGGAGGTAAATCAGGGTAAATCAGTTTCCCTATCTATACAGATCTCTCCGTAGATCTGTGAACCTGCCCCTAGAACCACTACTGGTTCCTCAGGGAAATGTCTCACCTCCTTCGACTTTTTGCTTACCAAACTATTGTTGTCATCCTTGGAAACTGCCTCTGATCCAGAATCGGGCCATGTCCTGCCTGATACCATTCCTTGCCCTTCTTTTGCCAGGGAAAGGATGAGGGAAATTAGAGTTATCAAGATTCTCAGTTCCAACTCCTCAGACCATAAAATCACCCTTCCTTGGATTAGGAGGTACCACCCTGGGTATTATGACCATATTTGCCTTCCCCTATTTATTAATCTGAATTTTAAAAGGGCTGAAGAAAGGCAGCTTCCAACAGAGCCTTCTCCCAAAAGAGGTCAGGTGACATATCCTGTCCTGATTTGTCACTGTCTGGTACTGAAAGAACAGTTTCCTTTACTTGTCTCAGACATACTGCCTGAAGAGGAACTAAAGGGGCCTATTGAACTTTTGGATGCAGATATGGATCTGGATGATCAAACTTCACCAGATGATAGTGTGGGTGCATCATCTTCCTCCTCTCCAGAAGATATGTTCCAATTTCACAAACACATGGAAAGGCTGGGTACTAATTACCCTGAACATCCTTTAGGAACCGTAAACGACACATCTGTTCTTGATATATTGGAGTCACCTTCTAAAAGTGAGATACTTTGCCAGTCTTTGATGGTTTATTATAGCTGGCAAAAAGTATCTGGTTAAACCCAGCACCTGGACAGACAATTCCTAAGAAAGCAGATAAATTATACAGCTGCTTCCTGAGGGATTCTCATTCTCCTGACCCACCCAACTCCAAGTTAATTGGTGGTGACAGCTGCCATTCAAAGAGCTAACTGTGGGGGTCAAGTCTACTTTGTCCCTTCAGTTAGATAGGTAAGCTAGATGTTCAGGGGGAAAAGATGTTCTCTTTTGCCACATTGGGCATTAGAGTTGTGAACTATCAGGTGGTAATGTCCACAAGAGCTTAGTAGGCTAGTCTCTCCATTGAAATGGAGCCACCGCAGTGGGACTCAGTCTGGTGATGTTCCTGAACCAGCACTTGCTCGTCAGCACTAACAGAGATGTCTTACTCTATCCTTCATTGAAATTTTAGACCTCAATCAAATTACATCATACTGGCCTCTCAGAGTTTAATGCCTAGAGCAGACTGGCACATTCATTCAGAAGGGGTTTTGGGTTTTGTGGATAAGAATACTAACTTTGTAAATTCTCATACAGATTTTTTTCTGGTTTATGA